TAAAACACTCTTTTCTTCTTTTTCTTTCATAGGTCTGATAAATTGCCTATAATTCAAGATTTAACTGGCACCACCCTCGAGAAACTTCTCATGCCCTCTCCTGGTAAGCATTTCCTCTGTACTTCCTTGTACTCATATTTTAGTAATTTATCTCCATTTTAGTGATGATTTTATTTCTGTATTTATTTATATCCATCTGTAGCACTAGGCTGTGAGTCCACAGAGGGGAAAGAAGTTAATCTTTCTACATCCAATGTCCCCTTGTAAATGGGGACTTGATAAATGTTTACATTAAAGAAGAAAAAAAAAAAAGAACTAAAGAAAAGAACCAGATTAAGCATAAATTACACAATGCATTAAACCCAGAATCTTGATGGAAGACTTGTGTGTGTTGATTTATTGAATATTTATCATTTTCTAGGCTCTGTGCTAATCACTAGTAACAAGAATGAGGGAAAATGAGAAGTGATTTTCAGGAGTAGGCAGTCAAGCAGTGCAAGATTGGACTGCAACATCAAGTGCATTTTCACTGGGAACATTCTACAAGGAAATTCTCGCTGGAGACAAAATAGAATTCCTGCACTTAACACTATAGTATTAAACGTGACTTGCTGTGCAAAATAGTTTTGCTGCAGACAGTATGGTAACATGGAACAATCTAAAACTTGGATCCAGAGTAGCTGAGTTTGAGTCCCTGTTCCAACACTTAGTAGCTGTGTGACCTAGAGAAAAATCTGCTATTCTCCTCTTTATCTTGGTTTTCTCATTTGTAAAATGAGGGCAATGATTCTTCACATAGGATTGTTATAAAGAGGAAGTGAAATCACACACACACAAACTTGTATAAATCATAATGTATAATACTTGTGCATACTTTTGTTATTACCTTATGATATTTTGATGTAAAACAAAATAATGAAATTTGCAGTTGGTCGTGATTTTAGTTTTTCTAAAACCTTTGTGAATTTAGTGCGTGTTGATTTACCCAAAATGTAAACTGAGGATGACTATGCAATGCAGCCTCTATTGTAGGACAGTGTTTAATTTGACCCAGTTCTGAGATTTCAACTTAATAATGTAAGAGGAGGAGAAATAGAGATATAAAAAAAATTCTAGAAGCACTTCAGAGGGGGACTAAAAGACCAAGAGAAATAAAGGCTCATCAAGAAGTATGTACAAATAATAAATAATTCTCCCCCCAAATCCTACTTTCTGCTCAAAGCCTGTTCAGAGAGGGCCTCATTGCTAAAAGACTCAATGATGCAGCCGTCCTCTGGGTAGGAGGACGTGCACCAATGGATGCATGTTATGTACCTTTCCAGACTACGGCATTTCTTTCCTGTTTCCCTTTTTATATTTTCATACTGCCTTTACACATTTCCTAGAAAACCCTCTTTGGCAATTGGCAAGTCACAAATTCTTAATTCTTTTTTGTAGATGAGTAAATATAAAAATGCTCAAAAAATATAAATGATTTGCAGAAGCCTAAAGAGCTAGTTAATGGCAGAGCCAGGAAGCCTACGCCTTCATCCCTGTGTATGGTTTACCCTGCCATACCATAAATTTCTTTTTCTACTTTTTCTTATTCTCTCCTCTTTATATTTCAACTACATTTTGTCTTCCTCTTATTCCCCATTTGAGACTTCAGCTTTCCGGTGGGTCTGCTCAGCCCTGCCACTGGCACAAAGGACTAAAGGAGCCTTGCCTGGAACTGGCTCCGGTGGGCTCCATTTCAATCATGGTTACAACGGGTTGCAAAAGACACACGAATCTCAGAGAGCTGTTTCATGGCACTGAGAGTTTAGAAGGCCAGTTTGGTGACGCACATCGACTTACAAGGGAAAAATGCTATTTGCTGAGGGATAACACTTGGCCTATGAATGGGGCCTTCTCTATGAGAAATGCAACTACTGTTGCAGTTCAGTGGCTGACACCTCCTTCCTCAAAAGTTATTGGGATATCGGGGAGACTTTTAACTACAGTTATGATCATCACTTTGTTTTTCACTTAACATACATTTCTGAACTTCCTTAAATCGTTATTCTCATCAGGACTGTACACCTGAGATTTCAACATTGAACTGATGCGTATATTTGCTCAGCTAAGCCCAAGAAAGCAACTTTGGACGTGGTTCCTGCTAAGAGGAGGATGGCAGTAACTCTGATATAAAACAGGTTCTAAAATACTAGGAATAAATTGTGTAAAATTATCAACTTAAAAATAGCTTTGCCATTGAAGAAGTGCAAATGAAAACAAAAAGTATTTAAAGCATTATTTTGGCTAGAAATTGGGCAAGGGGAAAAACAATGTTAATGTGAATAAAGACTTGGAGCCACAGAAATCGTCTGCAGCTGTCTCCAGTAAAGACAGTGAAAAGCTGTTAGGTTATTTAGCCTTGTAAAGGAATGAAATCCTGACGCAAGCTATGCCATGGATGAACTTTGAAAACAGGATGCTGAGTGAAATGAGCCCGACACATAAAAGGAAAAATATTGTATAATTCCGGTGATGGGAGCTACCTAGAACAGCACATGTAGAGATAGAAAGTAGAATAGAGGTTCCCAGGGACTGAGGAAAAGAGCAATTGGGAGTGACTATTTCATGGGTACTGAGGTTCTGTTTGGGATCATGAACAAGCTCTGGGAATGGACAGTAGAAATGGTGGCTCAACACTGTGCATGCACTTAATGCTACTGAAATGTATACTTAAAACCGCTTAAAATGGAAAATTTAATGTTATGTATATTTTGCCAAAATAAAAAGTAATATCTGGGCGAAGAAAAGGATTTTAGGTAGGTGAGGGATTCAACATGAGGACTGGAGAACCAGGCTTGGCAGTCATGCAGTCAGGAATTCCAGCTCATATCATGCAGTAGAATAAATAATACAGAATGTCTGTCTCACCCCTGCCACTGTCACTCAGCTGGCACTGCTGACACCATTTGAACTAGGCCAGCCTTGATCCAGCAACTGGCCCCACTGCTATGACTTTCTGAGTAACTCAATCTTATTATAACATCCTTCATCACCAAAGATAATTCTCCATGTTCGCTGCTTTATATTCTACACACCTGATTCAAAGTGTTGGGTCAGTGCATCTGAAAGGAAGATTCTCAGCTATAGCTATGTTTTGGCTGCAGAAAGAACATAAGGCTAGGAAAGAACATAAGGAATAGTCTCAGTTGCTGCAATAGCTGTATCTCCAACAAGCCTAACAATTTAGCTCAATGCTCTGCTTCAGGGTCTCTCACAAGACTGCAGGCAAAATTCAACAGGGCAGCGATCTACTTGCAAGCTCATTCAGTGGTTGTTGGTGGAACTCAATTCCTTGAGGGTTGCTGGACTGAGGGGCTCATTTCCTCACTGGCTGCTGACCAGAAGCCACCCTCAGGTCCTTACCACATAGGGGTCATTATTACCAAAGTGAATAACAATATATTAACATAATAACAACAACCCTTTCCATATTCTCTGATTGCAACCAACTAAAACTTGCTTTCTTTTTCCATGCATACTTCATCATCTTGTACAAAGTTAAGAACATTCCCAAAGCTCATACAAAAGCAGAAATTTGATGAGATGTTAAGAAGTATCTCAGTCATAGAGTACCTGGATAAGAACATAATTTAACCTGTTTAATAAAAAAGTAGAGAAGGTAAAAATAACTAATGATAAAAGCAGGCTTGGTGGCATACCTGAGCCTGTTAAATGTCAAATAAGTAGAATCCCCTCAAAGTTAGTAAGTTACAGGTGTAGGTCTGGAAACAGTATTATGAAATCAAAGTCTGCTCTAAACTGTCTAAACTGGAGTTCAGCTCCGAAGGAAGCTTTGTGGGGCTTGGGTTTGACATCTTATGATAAAAGAATGGTTTCTTCACTTAGGATGATGGTGTCCAGTTCCATCCAAATTGTTGCAAAAGGCACTCGATCCTTTTTTGTGGCTGAGTAGTATTCCATAGTATACATATACCACATTTCGTTAATCCACTCCTGAATTGATGGGCATCTGGGTTAAAGAATGGAAAACACACACCACATGTACTCACTATTAAATTAAAACTAACTGATTAGCACACATGTGCACAGAGGAAAGTAAAACTTGGTGGAAATCAGTCGGGGAAGGGGGAGGAGGAGATGCGTGAAAAACTACCTAATGGGTACAATTAACACTATCTGGGTGATAGGCACACTTATAACCATGACTCAAGCATTACAAAAGCAATCCATGTAACCCAATTCAAAATGGCTTAAACAAGGAAAATTCAGTGATCATATAACAAGAACCTCCACAAGGTGTGGAGTTTTTAGCAGTTATTAATTTACCAGCTCAATGACCTAATTCAAAGACCAAGTTTTATTCTTTTTGTCTTTCTGCTTTTATTATGTTATTCTTACCTTCATAACCACAGCTTGGCTGCAGCAGTACCAGATAGAATATCCAGGTGCCAACATCCAGATGAAGGAATGAGGAAATACCTTCCAGAAATTTCCCAACATACCTCTTCTCTTGTCTCATTGGGAAAAAGGGAGGGGGAGCTTATCCACTTACCTCCAAATCAACCACTGGCAAGGAAGATGAAATTATTATGAGTGACTTAGAATGATAGGGATTTATCCATGAGATAGAGTTAGAATCTTATTTTCTATAGATGGACAAGGAAACAAAATTTGGGTTCTAAAAGCAAGGAAGAGGGGAGATATTTGGTAGGCAACCAACAGTGTTTGCTCTACCACCACCAACTAAGCCGACAGTTGCTACGGGCAATGTGACTCCAGTGTTGACAAAGCATCTGTTTACTTTTAAGAAGCTGGAAATGTGGATGTTTATGCAAGATCTCCCAATTTTTAAATGTTAGCAATACATTCAAAACATTTAAAA